GGAGAGAGAGAGATGTGTGCTGCCAGGCTGTCCTTTCTCAGCTGTCACATTGTTGCCATGCTCAGTACGGTTTACACCTGGATAATAGCAAGGTGTTTAAAATGTTGCTCTCTGACCCCTTCAAATATTTGTGGCCTTCTTCACTTTTCTGATGACACGCTGCATGCGTAGTTTTGTATATTCTTTTTGTATTTAGAAAAAATATACAAAATTCTGCATGCTAAAAACAGGTAATTATTTAGACCAAAACAATAAAATGTATAAAAGTTGTGCTGGTAAATGTAGCTCGAATTTAAGGTCTTGAATGGAAAGTGGCAAACTATATAAATGTCATTCTGCTTCTCTGTTCTCGGCTATTAGATTTAGTTTTTGGGAGTTTATTAAAGGGAACCAGTCATGTCTTTTTAAAGAGCTTAAAATTTAATAGTTTGTGGGGGGTTTTTTTGTTTTGTTTTTTGCCACCTGCTTGGGGAAGAGTGGAAGAGGAGCACGGCCACACAGAGGTATAATACCCACCTCTTTAATTCGATTGCAGTGCAAGAGCGGTGATGGTTTCCCTTTTGGAGATGATGGGCTCCCATTCAGATTTCCTACCCCCTCACCCCCGCCTAATTTCTATAAACCATTGGATTGGGATCCAGGAAACGATTAATAATTTATCCTCCGTTTCTTCCAATTAAATGTTTGCGACATTTTTAAATTTTGGAAATGTGAGTTCTGCATTTTTTCCCCCTATTTTAAGTCACAATATCTGAATTGGAAAGTCACCTATGACCTAAAATTTGAAAACTACTTTAGATTCATAACCATTTCTACTTCAGTGCATAACCTTCAAAAACCATTCAGTTGTTTGTATTTCTATCAAAATTAAACCCTCCTAATATATCTCCATATTTATAAAAGATTTGGTTTACTCTTTCTTTCAATATAACTTTCACATTCAGGAAGAAAACCTCTTGAAACCAACACAACTGGATGATGGTTTGCCTTTGTACTTGGCAATGTTACTGTTTGCAGCATGAGAATTAATTATCCAATCTAGACTGTATTCTTGTTAAAATACATACGCTCTGAATACAGGGAAATTCTCCATGTCATGATCTGAAATGACTAAAGGTTCCTAAGGCTCAACACCGGCTCGTTTCAAGAGGAACAGCCTCCATGTAATAGCCCAATCTGCTCCATGTACCCAATCTGCTAACTGAAACACTGTCTCTTTAAATCGTATTGGCCCTCCGCAGTGAGCCAGTGTTGTGTCTTTGGTTCAATCAGGGATAACTATGGTATTGAAACTTGGTCCATAGAGTGACCATTGTATGTTCTCTATCTTATAAATGTGAAGTAGCCACTCGTGTAAAATGAAAATTACATATTAAAACAACTGAATTTGGCAGTTTTTCCAGGTGTAGACTTGAAAAGGTTTGTGTGTGTTTTTTTTTAGGGAAACCATTGGCATTGAGTATTTTCCCCCTTTTTAATTGTTTACAAAGGTGTGGTTTTTTTTTTCCTGACTGACGAGTGCACCTTTAATTATGTAATTTTTTTTTTGAAAATGTATGCTTGTAATTGTTTATAATTGCATTGTAAATTGATTATTAAAAAAAAAAAAAACTTGAATACTTGATAAATGACAAATATTTTTTCTGATCATCTCTCTGGTGTGAATCTTTTCATTTATTGCAGATTAGCCATAATATGTTGAGTACAGAAACTGGTTTACTAGTTACCCGGGGCCTGAGGTTATTGTTTTAGCTTTAGCCCTGCCACACGGGAGTTCGGGTTAAAGCTGGTACATAGAGTATGTGGTGTTTACATAAATCGCTCCCTCCCAGATTGGGGTCTCAGAGTCATGCTGCAGCCTGTGCTTTGAAGCTGTGCTCTAACTAATTTAGCCCCATGATTGCTGAGGAGCAATGATTGTGGTCTGCACCTGCTGGATTTGTCAGCCATGTTCTT